TTTAATTTCTCTTTCGTTATTCTTGCGAAACAAAGATTGTTTTCGCTCTCATGCTAATTACCGTTACATAGCTCGGTAGCGCTAATTTATAGAAAAGCGCCTTTGCTAATGCATTTGGTTCATTATAGATAATTTGCAATGCTCTTATGCAAGTTAACGTTGCGTAATGTTCTCGTGAGTTACACTTATATTTGAAGAGACTCGTTAGCTTGATCGTTGCGCGCGGCACTGACATATATCTACGCTTTAGATACCTATACGTCCTATATGTTGCGTACATATACATAGGTCATCACTCTTCTAATTGTATGTATGTACTATATATACAAACTATGTTCAAATGAAATCTATATAATATGTAGATTATACAATTGTGCTTTCTCTGTGCGAAAGCTCCGAATCTCACTCTCGAATATATCGTGACACTTTTAATTGTTTTATCTTTCGTTATAGATTTCACGTAACAGACATTATCGAGTTATACTTGTACTTGTCGATATTTTTCGAGAGAAATGCACCATCTCACAGCAATGGACATATGGAAAAAATGTATTTCGTAAAACTATTAACTACGCGTAATGTACTCCATTTGTCGAGTGGAAATTAAATTGTAACGTCACCAGTGTTGTGCATAGATGATTTTAAAATTAGCTAAATAAAGATAAGATGAAAATGTGAAAATTTATCTTAAATTAGATAGAGATGATTCAATTAAATTCATTTAGATAATCTAGATAAATTTCTCTGAAAATTTATTTGAAATTTTCCAGATAATTTTTTTTATTTTTAAGACTTATACTTACAATTACAACAAATAATAAAAAAATTCATACAAAAGGCTATAGGAGTCAACTTCTGGTTATTAAAAACTTCAAAGTGTACATTTAATTAATACTAACATATGATTTCGATTCCTATTTGAGTCATCTTTCATTTGAGTCAACGTTACCTTAATATTACAGCAATTAATATATCGCAGTAAATTTTAATTTACAATGACGTTCCGCAATTCTCGTGTGATTTACTATTACTTTGTATGTGACTTGTTGACTCCGTGAGGTGAGCACAATTTTTATTTCTGTTGTCCTCTATATTATTCACCTTCTTCAACGATTTTTTTTTAATTCTAATTTGAGTTTTTATCCACAACGGTCACATACAAAAGGAGAGAAAACTTTGAAGATATTGACTGCGATTATTAAGTGTTGTAATATTAAGAAGTTGTAACGGTGAAGATGACTCAAACAGGAGTCGAAACGTACGAGATAATATGGTATTATTAATTAAATGTATATCTCGAAATTTTTAATAGCCAGAGGTTGATTCCTATAGCCTTTTGTATGAATTTTTTAATTGTTTGTCGTATCAATTAAAGGAGTCTATAACTTATTAGTTTTAATTTAATTTCATTATTGCTCACAGTTAATAAAAAGTATAAGATTTTGCCGTTCGTTTTGCCTTTTCTATGGTAAACTAGTGTACACTTTTGAAATGAGATAGGTATTATGTTTGATATTTGGCGAAAGAGAGAGAGAGAGAGAGAGAGAGAGAGAGAGAGAAAGAAAGAGAGAGTTCTATGCACTACAACTCTCTGCATATCTGTCAAAAGTACAGAAATAAAAAACAGAGGGTCAATTGTGTATCTCGAAATAAGGTAAAAATTGCAAAAGTGAGCAAATTCACTAGAATAGTTATAATTTAATTGGTCAATATTTAGTGAATTTGCTCACTTTTGCAATTTTTACCTTATTTCGAGATACACAATCAACTCTCAAATCACTTGAGTGCAAGTGAGTAGTTATATAAGGTGTGTTCGCGTTACATGAAATCCCCATGTATTTTTTGCACTTAAAATGAGATAGATGTACTATACATATATTTGGCCTTAAAACGAGAGACGCGAAGGTGCCGAATAGAAAAAGTGCAAACAACGCGAATAGACCTACCTACTGGATGCATCCACTTTCTCCTTGAGGCTAAAAATTTTTCTGCAAACATGAATTACAAACATGAACTACATAAAAGCGAATATTTCAATATTCAGCACATTTTCAACATTGTAAAATGTAAACTGAATTATCTAAATGTCGTTCTAGATAAAGATGACACTATTTTTTATCTAAAATGCAGATAAAGATAATTAATATTTTTATTATCTAGATAAAGATAAGGTGACATCAAAATTTCATCTAGATGATCATCTAGATAATTTTATCTAGATAAGATTCAACATGAACGTCAGATTACACATGTATGTATATCGAACAAAATCGATGAAATGTTCACGTCAGAGTCTCGCCGGTGGGATCCAGCACTCGAAGAACACTCTAATATCGAAGGAATGGGGGGTGGGGGGGGAGGGGGAAAGCAGACGCGAAGGGAGAGATCGTATAACTCGGCCGAGTCGCATCGATGCCGGGCTCTGGACTGAGCCGGGGAATAATTAATATACCGTAGACGCATAACGAACGACTCCGCGATGCAGTCTGTTTGTTTTCGGATGGCCTTTCGCCTCTTCCCCGGCCTCAGGGGCTTGTCGGTCGTATCTCTCTTCAGTCGGGCTCCTCGACCTCCCGCTGTTTCCCTAGCTCCTTTTTCCTTTTTATTTTAAACGCGCATATGGGACTGTACGTACGTGTCCCTCGACGCGCGACGGCGACGGCCTCTTTGAATTTTTCCTTTTGGAAGGCTACCGTTCTTTATTTCGATTCACAATCGCTATAAACACATATTAAAAATGATAAAAAATACATATTTCAAGTATTATTACACGCTAAATACAAACGTACATCTGTAGAAAGAATTTTACGAAAGTGATTCGCTCGAAAAAGAAATATCCTATATTCTTTTTTTTACTTTGATAAAGCGAACGAAGCAAAGAGCGAACAAAAAAATCTTACAAGGCATAGAAATATTTCTATTCGACGTAAAATTGAAATTTAACATCCTTGTAACTTTTCGCGTCACGAGTAATTTCCCAATTTGCGACACGTATCCAATCGTTGCGGTGGAACGCGATGAAATTATCAAGTGGCCCTGTCTTCCTTCTCTCATGCGTGCATGGTATTTGATCAACGGAATTGCATCGAAAGATGGGGAGAAAAAGAGAGAAAGGAGATACACGCGTGCATAACGGAGCAGCGCCGCATGCCTTTCTCTCTCTCCCTCCATATATCCTCTCCACTTTAATCTTTCTTTTGTGACTCGACTGTTTTAGCGTTTTTTAGTCCTCGATGAGCTGGACCCCGACCGCGAATGGAGAGAGGGGCCGGCAGTTCGCAAGGCTCGCAAAGAAAGAGCGAGCAAGAGAGAAACGGAGATAGGCAAGGCATCGCTGCGGGCTTATTAGCAAGAAACCGGTGGAGAAAGACGAGGTCGCAAGGGGAACTCGACTTAAGATGGTAGATGGTAGATCGGGGGTTGGGGCAAGCCGCGGGCAAACGACGCCGAGCATGCTCGCGGATAAAGATGGCTTTGCAATATATCGCAATAAACGTCCCTCCCTCCCACTCCGTTCCTCTCTTCTCTTTTTCTCTTCATTTATTTCGTATGGTCCTCATTAACGCACAGTCACAGTCATACTTCACAGTCCAGCACAGTCGCGTCAGAGGCTCAGAGGCTCAGAGGTCGCAGAGTCTGGTAGACTCGGGGAAGCCACCCCCTTGTTACGCATATTTATATGCCGCGTCGAGCATACTCGTATATCTAAATATACGTTTCGATGCGAAACCCTCTCCCTTTCTCGATATTCTTGACTTTAACGCAATTAATTTGTTAATTAATGCGATGTATCCTTAAAGATTCAATTCAACATTTAATTTTTTCAAACTATTTGACGATTACAGGATTGACGTTTTTCGTTGCAGGTCCCTCTAATGCAGGAGAAGTAAGATGCTATTGCAATAAACCAGAATGCGTTCCTCAAGGATACATGTGTCGCGGTAGGAGTTGCTTTACAAAATTACCATTGAACGCAAATGCGTCACTTTCGAGAGCGGAGCATACTGCTCACAGCGGTTGTCTCGATGAAAATTTGATAAATCGTCAGTGCCCCGCAGGATTTCTCTGCTGCGATCAAGATCTCTGCAATCACGTGGACAGCCCCGCGATGAGAAACAGATTCAACAAGACTCTACGAGGTTCGAGACGAATAAGGCCTTTTCTCCCTTTCATCTCGCATGCTATTAGGCTATTACATTTTCAACATTTTCCATTCCGCTTGTCACATTCTGTCATGTTGATTATCGTAAATCTATATACATTTGATGTTTAGGGCAATAGGTATATATATTGCCATTAATTAGAATGCTCCTCTAATTTTTTATGAAACATAAACCCAATTAAATTTCTTTTTTAACACAAAAATCTCTCTTTCTAAACTAGCTTTCAAAAAACCTATTCGTGTTCCTTTAACTTGTTTATTACTTGTTGATAATATCATTGTAGTATTGATCGATGATCAACGACCGTACTTGGCTCCATTGCATCCAAACAGTCGTGGAAATCAGGCGATTGACGGATGGTTCCCAACGGCGACGATCGTCGTGGCTATCTGTGGATTCATCGTCCTATTAATGATCGCCAGCCTAGCTGTCAGATGGCTCCAGCCTATGCCGGCACAAAACGCAAATAAATTCGTACAACATCGAACATCTAATAACGAGCCACCCTTACTTGGACCACCGAAAGTGCCTTTGGTTTAAGAAATTTTATGACAAAGTTTCCCAATAAGAGGTGTTCTAAGTAATAGTTTAATTAATAGAGCTGGCTGCCCGCGCCGCGCTAGTTTTGATACATGACTTGCAAAACTGGAGTTGTGCCATACACATACATTTGTGTAACAAAGTATTTGTATACCGAGTACTTGTACGTTAATATTAATTGAGGATAATTAAATATATATATATGTGTGTATATATATATATATATATATATATATATATATATGATTTCTTTACGACGAATGATATTATTCCAATTTAATTTTCTTTCAACTTTGTGGATTTTTTACAATGTATATAAGAAATATAGCCTGTGTGTGCGTATGTGTGTGTGTATGCAAGTTTGCAAGATTCCACAGAGTCATGTACCAAATAAATGGCTGTTTAGAAAGCTAGCGGGCCGTCGAAGGCTCCACTTGGCTGTGAATTCTACGAAGAAAGCAACTACTGTAAATTGTATCTCATAATGATAATGTATTACTCGTTGCATTTCCTCGAAACGTCGACATGACACGCATGTCAACATCGCGAGATCAAAGAGTGAGAATGGATCAACATTTTTCGATCCTTTAAACATGACGATACGATGACATAAAGTATATGATACGTTTCTATGTCATTATAGGATTGTAAATATAGAACATGTATTTTTTATCACCTTGAATGATACATTAAATTTGATGATATTATCGAGTTACAATAATGATGCGAGAACGTTTTTAACGTTGCAATTATTGAACTCTGTTCCCTAAAAATATTAGTACGTAATTTTAATTCACGAATAGTACACGCCAATAAAAAGTGAGGGAAGATTATATATTTCGTAATAATCTATAAGAAAATTCAATAGAAAGTAAATTTGTGTAAGCGACATAAAATTTTTCGTTCAAGTCGCCGTTGCGACTTGAATCACAGCCAATTTGTGAATTGTGTACCTTTTCTTCATATAATATTTTTTAAGCGTATTTCATATAAACATTGTATTGTGATAGTACGACATAATAATGACTAAATAAATACGTACAGGTTTGCCTAGACTTTATTTTATACATGTTACTTGTGAGGAATGAAAAAAAAAGTAAAGTATATTTTAATTGTCTTTTCATTGCATCTTGTCTGTATTTATTTGTTGCTTTTCATCGATAACATACACGTACCATATTGGTATCCGGTATATAGAGAGGATACGTCATTACTCTATAAAATAGGTTTTCATATGATTTACTCAGCTCAAAAAAATGATTTCGTGCTGTATTGAAATTTCAATCATAAAACGCACGTATAATATAAATGTTTTGGCATCACAGTTTAAAAACCATTCAATTCCATACATATACACACACATATATATATATATATATATATATAATGTGTGTGTATATATATATATGTGTGTATATAATTATACCATTCATAACAAGTCCATTTCTTTAAGATGCAATTTCTCATTCGTACCATACTTCGTTATATGAGTCCCTGCTCGTTCATCCTCTTTACTTTGTCATCTCGAAAGAAAGCGCATTCCTTTATAAAAATACTGTTCAAGGTATTATATTGTATGTTCTATTCCATATCGGCTTTCTAATCTTCGGCCAAAAAAGAAATTTTCCTTTTCTTTAAAAGAAACTGTGCTTATCTTCTCAATTGAAGGTCGAGCATTACATATAATCTATGTATGTACATGCACGTAATGTAGGAATATTGAGATTTAGCTTAGTGATGTTCCTTTTGTTCAGTCATAACCCTTACAATGAGTTTTTTTTGCAATTAATACAATATAATGAGTTTAAGAAAGTATCTCTCCAAATGATTTGACATAGGCCTCATGAAGTTTGTTGATAAAATCCGGATCGCTTTTCAACAAATAATTGAATGCTTGTAAAAGTTGATTCCTCGTTAGTGGCTCTAACGGTCGGTTTAAGGATTCAGGTGGGCTAGGAGCGGCAAACATCACAGGTGGTATCAATGCTGGTGCCGAGCCTCTTCCTGACAATGTAGACGCTGCCGGGATAATATCGTCTGACGACTAAATCAGGATACAAGGAGAAAGAAAAAAAAAACAATAAATACACACAAGCTTAATAAACACAAAAGATAATATTTTTTTGTTTAATTTTCTTACCGTACTTCCGGAAGCATGAGCGAATAATGACGCAAGTGGATTGGCATTGTTGGTATTAGTAATGTTGGAAACTTGATGATTTCTTAGAGTAGAAGACGTTACGTTAGATGGCGACTGTATCCTGAGGAATCCAGTCGACGCATTTGAATCGTTAACATTTTGAGTAACAGGTAGCGGCGGTAAATCTTGGGAAATCGGCGCTGATGTGGATATTATCGATTCTTGTTGCAAAGTTGCTTTACTTCGTTTTTTAGATTTGTTTGTGGATGGAATCGTTGTCGGTTGTGACTGATGAGATGGTTGGGGTGTCACAGATCTCTGCTGTTTCTCAATATGTTCTAAAGTATGCGCTGCTGGATGAGACATTAAACGTGCAAGTAAAGGTTTACTTTCGACCACAACTGTATTTCCTGGAGTAGGTTGGTCGCCTGCTTTGAAGTGTCCAGTATTCACCTGGTCGACACAAGTGATATAAGAGATAGAGAAATAATGTATGTATGTATGTCAAATAGAGCAGTAAAGAGATACAATGCTAACCTTGGCTTTAGCAAAGAAGTCCATTACACTTTGAGAAGTGACGTCAGGTCCTAAGGGAGCAGCTAGAGGTCCAGAAATATTGTCGGTCATGGGTGTAACCGATGGAGACTTTGATCCTATTATTGTGTTACCGCTATCGCCTTCGCCACCTCCACCGCTACCTCTGCTTGTGTTAAAGTCCTCCTGTGCCTTGCTAAGCATGCTGAATATATCCACGTTGTTTACATTGGGTCCAGAGGTTTTTTTAGCCTTCAGTAACGGTTTATTAGTGATTTTGCGATTTTCTTCACATTCTTTTAGAAGTTTATTTAACATATTTGCGATGCGTACACATTCCTCTTTTTCATAAAACCAAATACCATAGATGTTGCACCTAGAATTTCTATAGAGCAGAAACGGTTCCTGCAGTTGTAAATCTAAACCTGGAGCAACTGGTTCCACTAGATTGTTTGTATTTAATCTGTAATAAATATGTATATATCATTTTTATATAATATTTTTAGTATTATTAATATAAGATGGATGTGCAAAAGATACTAAACTTGGATAAAAATAATTTACAAATCTCTCGAGTAAACCGCTCTGGCGATGAAAAGTAAAACGTCACACGTTATATTTTTCTAGCTGGTAGATATTTAACACCTCAGTATATACTACCTGTTCATTATGAGAATACTGTTGTATGGCTCGCCATTCCTTGAATACAAGAACAGAGCACCCTCGATGTCAGTTTTTTCCCATTCATTTTCATCCGCGTTAAATGTATACAGAGCGACGTGGGTCGCAGTTTCCAAAATATCCTTCACATAGGGGTCAACTCGTTTCAAAGCAGCCACGTTCATTCTCAGCTCCGTTCGATCCGTCATGCTTCCAATATTGACGACTATGATGATGATGATGATGATGATAATAATGATAATAATGATGATGATGATGATGAATGATGATGATGACGATAATGATGATGACGACGATGATGATGATGATAATGATGATGATGATGATGATGATTGAAATCTGACGATACGTGAGATTCGACAATTATGAGCAGCTTAGCGTTAGTGCAATGATTTCTCTCTTTTCTCCACCGGCTAATCAACAATGATACAAAGAGAGAGAGAGAGAGAGAGAGAAAGAGAGAAAGAGAGAGAGAAAACCGTATTTTCAAATAATCCAAGCAGCTGCTCTCACAATAAACGACATACTAGTTTCTAGGCTGCCGTCATAAGATGCTAGGGCTATGTTCCAAAATTTGCTGCCAGTGCTGAAAATGTACAGTATATGTAACATAAACTGTAGATTTTTAGCGCTAGCAGTGAATTTTGGAACATAGCTAGATAGCAGACGCTTGGCGCATACTGCATCAGCACAAAAAGAGTTGGTACACAAAAAACTTAAAGCCATGGCGTACGAAAAACTGAAGGCAGTAAAGCGGGGAGCACAGACTCTTGCATAACACATAACACATAAGACATAAAAAATCCAACCAATAAGGGTTCTTTACTTCATGAAAACGAAAGAAACGAAGGACTTTGATTGGTACATTTTCTTATGCGTTTGCAAGAATCTATACTTCCCGTTCAAACGTACGTAATGTGTGAATTTCAAATTCTATCGTAATGAATGCAATCTCAATTTCAATCTCTGCAATTGATGGCTTGCCACTAGGCTGGAATGAACATAATTCTTGCTCATGTATCATCTTTAACTTTTCAAAGTTTCTGCAGAGTTCAATTTGTGTATTTGATTTCATTACAAATGTGAAAGTCAGAGGTAGTATCTATTACCTATTATATAAGTATCTTATTACTGGCAATTTTTAATTACCGTGTACGGAAAAAAGTTACTATAGCGCGGCAGGGTATTCCGCTGCAGATGCTTAAGGTCCTTATTAGATATAGATACGCTTCTTCTCAAATCGACTATGGATGCTCAAGGATTCTTCCTTTTATTCCTTCTGATTAATTATACTCAGTGTAACTATTAATTTTTTGATCTAGTTTACATTGTTCACTCTGGCCTAGCGGCAAGCCATCATAGAGATCGAGATTGCGTTCTGTTATTCACTACGAGAAAATAAAAAATTTACGTTACAAATACTTTATAAAATCCTAAAAGTTTAAATTACAGAGAAAAGTTTGATCGATGATTGAAAACAGAATTTCCTATATTAACTTAACAACAAACTCAAATCTCTCTAGTTAAATGCTACCAACGCTACGCTAGGATTGTTCATGAAGCTTGCTAATGCCATCGCGCTATTGGCTCCACAAACAGCGTTGATAGCGTTTGCGTTCATAAAGCGAATAGTGTCTCCCCGAACACATCCCGTATCGTTGCCAATATTTAAATCTAGCTAGCAATCCAGCAGAAAAACAAGCATCGTGTGCCGCAGGCTTTACTTTATTCTTTATTATACTCTCAGCTACAACTAATTGACCGATCAATATTAAATTAACATCGATTTGATGTCAAGCGATGTTGAATCAGCATCAATTGGACGTTGATCAACGAACCATTTCTGGCTGGCTCGGAAAATTAGCTTATTCCCGACGTGTCTGCAGCTTTTACTGCTATCGTTTATTGTAAACGACGCTTTAGACTGGCGTCTCATGAGCGAAAATTTTGAGCAAAACAGCGGGACCAATCACACTCCGCAGAAAAGAAAGCAATAATACAGAGTTGTGATTAGTTGTATTGACTGCATTCAGCAAACTCAACAGTTGACTCCGCTGAACGCAGCCATTGTTTCATTCCACTGTAAATTTTCGCTCCATGAGATGCCAGCTTGAAGCAATAAAACGTAAGCAGTAGTTAATCTAAAGTCTATTCTATATTAGATGCAAGTCGATCATAAGTTTGTTGCGATAGCCAATTTGAAGCGTTGATTTTAAAATGCAAATGGCTATCGTACAGCTGTATGTATGTGCATACATACAGCTGTTTTGAATGCATTTCAAACGACTAGAGACCTAGGGCGGAATCCATAGACGTTGCTCAAGATTCGAAATGGTTTTAAGCTAGTGCTCGAGATGTCATGAACCAATTAGAAAGCCATATTAACATCTTAAGACATTGGTTGAGATTATTTTGAGATTAGAACGGACTATGGATTCGGCCTTAGAGTTATCAAAGAAACTCGACCGATTTATGTCAGTATCGCAAAAGTATACACTAAAGATACTAAAAAAGATATTAAAAATGGCGTCATTTGCAAGACGAACTTATGGTTCTCGCACACAGAATGCGGCAACGTTTGCCGCGCGGCGGAAGTTATCGCACTAATCAATGGGTGCATCTAGAAGCATATTTTTGATCTGATGCCACAGTAGCATTTGGCTAGGAGTGTTTTGGGCTGTGATGTCACAGATATCATTATCGAAAATGACATTTCACTGTCACTATGGAAACACGAATAATATTTGGCGGTAAATATGGACCAAAACAAAGCATTAATCTTAGCGATACAATTATTTGAAGGGAACACCTTTGATGATGACTTACTTACCATAGCATGTAGTAAGTTACAGGGAGCAGTGTGTAATATTTTGCTATTTCAAAAGGAGGATATACAGCAGCATTTTAGGTTAGGACATTTGTGCGGCGAAGAATGGGTCCAGTATTACTTGGATTTTCACCGGCTATTTCGGTAAGAATCACAGAAAATTTTATGTGATATTCTTTACGCCATGCTTTATGTGATATCCATGTAATTTTCTTATTTTTTATAAGATACGTAAATGGCCGTGGTCACTTCTGATTGGTCGTGATTGGATAACGAAAATATGCTTCAGAAGCACGACCACTCATTGAGCGCTCAGAGGGCTTTTACATCTGATTGGCATATTCCATTAGATCTAAAAATATGGACTAAACAGGTACAAGAGCTCACTGAGCGCTCAGTCAGCAATCGTGCTTCTGTGGATGCACTTAATAATTCTATTTCTTAAGTCAGCTTTTTTAACGCATTTAATAAATGCGTTTTTGATATAAATATAAAAATATAATA